AGAGAGCTGCAGTCTGGCCTAATTTGTCAAACAATAGGGATTGCTTTCATTCCAGTTAATAAGTTAGTTGTTTTTTGTATTTTTTAAAATCCCAATCAATGTGGATTAATGAGAAGAGTTTTTGTTTGTTTGTATCTTTGCCAGGTTCGATCTCCTCTCAGTCCTCTCACTTCATCTTGCGCTTCTTTACTCTCCTGGCCTCAGGGGCGGTCTTAGCCTGTTTGGTGCCCTGGGCGAAGACTCGCTCTGGAGCCCCCCATCCCATCACACACACCCCACACACATACACATAAAACATATAAGGTTTGTACATAAACATATTTTATTATAAAAACTGTTGTTGGAACCATCATCATCATCATCATCATCATCACCTTTTTTTTATAAAGCACTTTAAAACAACCACAGCTGACATAGGAACTATATGATAAAATTACATAAGATATAAATAAAAGCCAAATAAAAGAAAAATTAAAAATAATTAAGGAAATAACTAATTTCATTACAAGAGAAAACTAAGCCTCACTGAGGTTAAAAGCCAAAGATTAAAAGTGGGTTTTAAGACGTGATTTAAAAGTAGAATGGACTGATTCTTATACAGCACTTTTCTACTCTCACGGAGTACTCAAAGCGCTCTATACAACATGCCTCATTCACACCCATTCTCACAAGCACTTTATCTACACTTAGTGCTTTCTAACAACATTCATACTCCGATGGATGCATCGGAGAGCAAGTTTGGGTTAGTATCTTGCCCAAGGATACTTGGCATGCAGACTGGAGAAGCCAGGGATCAAACCACCAACCTTGCAATCAGTAGGTGACCAGCTCTACCTCCTGAGCTACAGCCACCAGACAGTGAAGGGGCCACTCTAACGTGCAAGGACCCAAGACAGAAAAGGCCCCGCCCCCTCTGAGTTTCCTCCTGGATCTCTGTACTTTTCTACCTTTTTCTAACTGCTATATGTTTTTCCATGCAAAGTCTTCCTAAACTGTGTTCCTTTGTATGAGTGTTGACTTTCTGTATGTATGTACAGTTTTATAACCTAGACATGCTTCTCTGTTTAGGCAATCTTATTTACCATCACAACCTTCATCACAGAGCCACTGAAGTACTTCGGTCAGGGATTCAGTGAATTTCTTCGAGT